TTGCAGCCTGGCATGTTGCCTGGCACGTTCCGCGGAGCGTCCCGTGGCGAGTCCCCCTGGCACGTCGCGCGGTGCATGTCCATTGGCACGTTCCGTAGCGCGTCCCCTTGGCACGTTCCACGGTGCGTGCCCATAGCACGTGCCCTGGCACGTCGCCTGGCGCGTCCCTTGGGACGTTCCGCGGCGCGTCCTCCTGGCATGTCCCCTCTGTCGATTGGTTCTGGGGCAACTGCCATCTGCTCAGGCAGCTCGAGCTTAAGATCCAGATCAGTTCGGTCAGGACTCGGATGCCAGGGAGGACTCGATCCACAACGCTATATATATAGAGCACAATCGCGGCATGGAACATCGCAGTTCAGCACGGCGTAGCACAGCACAGCCCTCGGCACAGTACATCAAGATCGATACATTCAGCATTGTATTTGCCCGTCGCCCAATCAAGTGTCTTTGAAACGTTGCCATGCCTTACATTCCTATATTCCTTTCCGGGTTCGTGGGTCGATCATGCTTCTTCTACGTCAGTGGGGTATACAGGCAGGTCGTGCCTTACCACCAGGCGGGCGCCCACTCCTCTTTTTGCTCCGCTTCGCCGCTCTTGCCAGCCTTCCTTTTTCGCGGCGCCCGCCAAGTGCACGTTCTTTTGCCACTCCGCCAGGCCAGTGGCCTACATCTTATGTTCTAAAGCCGCACGCAGCATGTCTGGGCAGCGCAAAAAGGAGGGTCGGCACGGAAGCGCGTCAGTGGGGTTTCACGGGAAGGGGCTCCCGTCGGGCCGGTGAAGGGGGAGCCCTTCTCGTGGAGGACGGGCCGCCCGTCCTCCACGAGAAGGACGAGCACGTGACGCCCGTCACGGGCGCAGTGTGCCGGCATGGCTTTACGTGGCCTCGTTCCTTCTGTAGGGTTCCTCCTGACAGCGTTTCGACTCCATGCCGGGTGAGCCATCGCCATGCACTGTCTGTTGGGTTGTGGTTTTGGAGGTGGGGGCTTCGTCAGAGCAAGAGGTGGTGGCTCCATCAACTTCCGGACAGCAAAAGACCGCGGGCGGAGCGAGATCTTACCTTCTACGTAATCCGGTTGTGGATTGAAGCTGCCGCTTGCAGGCCATGTTCACGGTGGCCGAGACGTCAGAAGTGTCAGGGTCGGCGCGGCAATCCCGCTCCAGTGTTTCCACGAGGTGCCAAGCCATGGATGACGGCGCGTGGATTCGCGACGGGCCCCGCTTCCCCACCGAATCGGCGCGTTATGTGCCCAATTTGGCGGCAGTTGTTTCATGTTTCGAGGTGCGCCCCCTAATCCACCACCCCCACGTGCCATCTCTTCCTCCTCGGAGAATGGCGGCGGCCTCGGCTCCAAGAGTAGCAATCTAGTAGCTCCTTCTGAGTTCCGGCGCTTCACCTCGCACGCGAAGTTTTCGGGCGCCCCAGCTGCTCGCAGGGCTGCGCTTCGAGAAGGCCGGAGGCGCCAGGAAGCATCAGGGGCGATTTAAAGCAGGCGTGAACGCAGCATGTGCATCATTGAGTGCCATCAGTTCCAGGCGCAGCCCAACGTGTGAGGCGCTCGATTGGAACAGTTGCGGGCAATTCAGGCGCGCCCACGAAACAAACCGCGGATTGGCCACAAGGATTTTAAATTCTGGAAGTGGATTACGGTGGAGTTTTGCTGATCGCAGAATTGGATGGTCCATACGTGTGGCCGCAGAGCTACTGGAAAGCACACGACCAACTTCATTGACCGGCGATGAACATGACTCTCGGAATCCTTCGAATATCGCCAATGCTCCTGTTTCCACCCCTCCTCCTCCTCCTCCTCCTCTTCTCCTCCTCCTCCTATCCTCGTCTTCCTCCTCCTATCCTCCTCTTCCTCCTCCTGTGTCGTGTCTAAAGCCGACAACTCCGAGAGCCCCTGGTGCCTCTTCTCCTGCCGAGGCCGAGGAAGCCGCCGAGCCAAAGGCCGACGCCACGGTGGCCGAGCCGGCCGAGGAGGCGACGGCGGGGGCCCCCGAGCAGAAGGCCGCGGACGAGGCAGCCTCGCGGCCTCCCCCCCCTCGGACTGCGGGTGGGCCTCGGGCCGAGGCGGGCGGCGAAGTCGTCGTCGTCGGCGTCGTCGTCGCCGTCGCCGTCGCCGTCGCCGTCGCCGTCGCCGTCGCCGTCGCCGTCGCCGTCGCCGTCGTCGTCGTCGTCGTCGTCGTCGTCGTCGTCGTCGTCGTCGGGATCGGCAACGGCACGGCGGGAGAAGGGGAGCGTCAGCATCGTCATCCCGTGCACGTGTGTTGTTGTTCCCCACCATCCTGTGATGTTGTTTCCCTGTTTGGGAGCAGCAGCGCCCCGCGTCTCCTCACCTCATCGCCTCTCTTCTCGTCCTCCCTCCTCTTCCCCCGCCCCTGCCTCTGCCCTCCGCGTGTCTCTGTTCTGGCACACCGCTCACACGCTTCGCGGCCCCATGGGGGACTCCACCGAAGGTTCTTGTGGCAGTGTTCGGAGGCGTCCCCCCGCTTCGGGTG